GACCCCCGGGGGTCAGGGGGCCCGTCCGGGGCCGGGAGTCCGGGGCGCAGGAAGCCCTTCGTAAACAGTTACCGGCTTTATTTTCAGACGCGCTATCTGGAGTGTCGTTTGAGAAACGAGATACTTAGAGGAGGGCACTAGGGTTTCCCACCACGTCTGGGTCACATTTGTGTCTGCACAGTGTCCGTCCTGCAGTACCTTCTCCGTAAACATGTGTGGAGTGAAGTGGGGGGTAGGAGGGGGGTGTCAGGCCCAGCTAGAGCATTCGAGAAACTTGGGAGAAGATACTGGACTACGTTGTGTTGATTGCTTTGCCACCTGGCCTGTGGCCGACAGTCATTGCCCAGGGCCTGCAGGCGTCCAGCTGCCTAAGCCGGAGGTGGTAGCACCAAGTAAGCTTCAAACATCAGAACCTGTTACGGGACAGGTAGACGGTCCAGTTAAGTTTAGAAGAGCGAGTCGATAGCTTGTATTTGTTTTTCAAATTCAGTTAATCCTGGATTTTTTTTAAAAAGAGGAATCTGTTGCCGAAACCGGTTTGGCTCAGTGGATAGAGCGTCGGCCTGCGGACTGAAAGGTCACAGGTTCGATTCCGGTCAAGGGCATGTACCTGGGTTGCGGGCACATCCCCAGTGGGAGATGTGCAGGAGGCGGCTGATCGATGTATCTCACTCTCTCTCTCTCTCCCTTCCTCTCTGTAAAAAATCAATAAAATATATTTAAAAATAAAAATAAAAAGAGGAATCTGTTGTGGGAGATTTTGAAGCAGCTAAGATCCCTTCCCAGTGACCCCATGCAGCTGGCTGAGGAAGTAGCAGTATTTACCTGTGAAGTAAATAAGCTTTTCTCGCAAGGCTTAAAGCAGTGGTTCGCCACCTTGGCCGCACATTAGAATCACCTGGGAATCTTTTTAAAATCCTGACTTCTGGGCCTCATCCTCCGGAAATTCAGACGTCTGTCTTCCAGGCTTTTTGTTTTCGTTTGGGGCATAAGTTGGTTGTTTTTACGTTTCAGTTTTTTTTGTTTCTTTTTATTACATTTAGTGGGGTAGCATTGGTTAATAACATTATATATATAAATTTCAGGTATACAACTTTATAATACAGCATCTGTATATTATGTCCGCAGAACCCAAAGTCTATTTTTCCTAAATAACTATATTTTTTATTGACTGCCTTTTTTAGAGAGGGATGGAGGGAGAGAAAAAGAAAGAAACATCAGTTTGTTGTTCCACGTATTTATGCATTCATGGGTTGATTCTTGTATGTGCCCTGGCCAGGGATTAAACCCACAGCCTTGGTGTATCGGGAGAACGCTCTAACCAGCTGAGCTACTCAGACAAGGCTTGTCTCCTGTCACAATGTGTTTGATCCCCTTCCATTCTGGTGACCACCGTTCTGTTGTCTGTATCAATGGGTTTGATTTTTGGTTTGTATGTTTGTTGCTTTTTATTTATATCCCACATACAAGTGAAATCATACAGTTGCTTTTTTTCTGTTTGATTTATTAATTAGCATAATACTCTCAAAATCCTTCCATATTGTCACAAATAGCAATAGTTCATCTTTTTAACGGCTGAGTAGTATTCCATTGTATATATGTACGATATCGTGTTTTTCCAATCATCGGGCGAAGGACACGTGCCCTAGGTTGTTTCCATGTCTTGACGAATATGAACAGTGCTACAATGAATGCAGTGATACATATGTCTTTACAAATAAGTGTTTTCACATTTTTAAGGTATATAGACCCAGAAGAGGTATTACTGGCTCATATAGTAGCTCTGTTAATTTTTTGAGGAACCTCCATACAGTTTTTCATAGTGGCTGCACCAATTTACATTCCCACCAGCAGTATATGAGGGTTCCCTTTTCTCCATAGCCTCTCCAGCGATTGTAGTTTCTTGTCTTATTGATTATAGCCATTCTAACAGGTGTGAGGAGGTATCTCGTTGTGGTTTTGCTTTACCACTTCCCTTATAACTAGTGATGTTGAGTATCTTTTCATATTTCTGTTGGTCAGATGTGACTTCCCTATACAAGTTCTTATTCAGTCTTCTGCCCATTTCTTAAATAAGATTGTTTTTGTTGTTGAGTTATATGAGTTCTTTATATGTTTCAGATATTAACCCTTTATCAGAGGTATGGTTTGCAAATATCTTCTCCCATTCTGTTGAATACCTTTTTGTTTTGTTGATGGTTTCTTTTGCTGTGCAGAAGCTTTTTAATTTGATGTAGTCCCAGTCATTTATTTTAAGAGTTTTGTTTTTGTTTTTTAAATAATATATTTCTTTATTGATTTCAGAGAGGAAGGGAGAAGGAGAGAGAGATAGAAACATCAGTGGTGAGAGAGAATCATTGATTGGCTGCCTCCTGCACACCCTACTCGGGATTGAGCCCAAAACTCAGGCAAGTGCCCTTGGCCAGAATTGAACCTGGGACCCTTCAGTCCGCAGGCCAACACTCTATCCACTGAGCCAAGCCGGCTAGGGCAAGATTTTTTTTTTATTACTGTTTCAATTTCCTTACTAGTGATCCATCTAAATGCGTTTTCCACTTCTTCATGATTCAGTCTAGGAAGGTTGAATACTTCTAAGAATTTGTACTTTTTTCCTAGGTTATTGAGTTTGGTGATGTATATCTTTTCATAGTATTCTAGTATAATCCTTTGTATTTCTGCAGTGTCCACTGTAACTTCCTCTTTCATTTCTGATTTTATTTATTTGAGTCTTCTCTCTTTTCTCCTCTAGCCAGAGGTTTATCTTTTCAAATAACCAGTTCTTTGTTTTATTGTTTTCTATTGTCTTTTCTCTATCTCATTTATTGCTCTATTTTTATTACTTCCTTCTACTGAATTTGTGCCTCATTTGTTCTTTTTCTAGTTATTTAAGGTATAATGTTAGATTGTTTATTTGGGGTTTTTTTTATTTCTTGAGGTAGGCCTGTAATGGTATAAACATCCCTCTTGCACACCTAAAATTTTGTTACATCATATCTTCATTTTAATTTGTCTCTGTGTATTTTTTGGTCTCTAATTTCTTCTTTGACCCAGTAGTAATTCAGTAGCATGTTGTTTAATCTCCACATATTTACAGTTTTTCCAGCTTTCTTCTTGTAGTTAATTTCCAGTTTCATACCATGTGGTCAGAAAATATGCTTGGTATGATTTCAGCCTTAAATTTATTGAGACTAGTTTTGTGCACTAACATGTAGTCTATCCTTGAGAATTCCAATGTGCACTTGAGAATGTGTATTCTAGTATTTGGAGATGGAAAGTTCTGTCAATATCAATTAAGTCTGTTTGGTCTAATGTGTCATTTAAAGTAGTATTTCCTTATTGACTTTCTGTCTGGATGATCTATGAGTCGGGTGTTCAGGTTGCCTATTATAATTGCAATTTTGTCAGTTTTTTCCTTTAAGTCTGTTTGTAATTACTTTATATGTTTTGGTGTTCCCAGGTTTGGTACATATTTATTGATAAGTGTTATGTCTTCTTGATGAATTATCCCCTTTATCATTATTAAATGTCCATCTTTGATTCTCTAACTTTTTTATTTTGAAATCTATTTTGTCTCATATAGGTACTGCTACACCCACTTTTTTCTCCGAATGCCATTTTCTTGGAGTGACATCTTCCACCCCTTCTCTTTAAGCCTGTGTTTATCTTTGGAGCTGAGTCTCCTGCAGGCAACATATAGTTCGTTCTTCTGTAATCCATCTCGGTACTCTATACCTTTTGATTGGTGAGTTTAGTCCATTTACATTTAGCATGATTATTGACATATGAGAACATAACAACAGCCATTTTTGGTTTTCTGGTTACTCTGTGTCTCCACTGTTTCTTTACCCTTGTGATTCTCTCTCATATTTTAATTTGATGGTTTTCTATGATTTTTTTCCTCCTTTATCCCCTCTTTTTAAATCTAATGGAGAGAAACAAAGGAGTCTTCTCACTGTGCCGTGATGCTTACATCACTCCCAAGTTTTACATAACTCCAAGTTTTAGTTTTATGACTGGGTACCATATACACATTAAAAAAAAATCCAAAGTTAGGAAACAATATGCAGTGAAAAACAAGACCCCTTTCCTTCTTTGAACACCAGCATTCATTTTCCCCCAGCACCTCTCATTTTAAGAAGACAGTCTTTGTTAAATCCTGCTAAATTTGTCCTACAATGAAATCTTTAGGTTCAGATCAACCGAAGGACTTGTACGCATGCATATAAGCATAACCAATGGACACAAGACACTGGAGGGTAGGGGAGGCCAGGAGAATGTGTGTGTGTGGGGGGGGAGACATTTGTAATACTCTTTGTAATACTTTAAGCAATAAAACAAAATTTAAAAATCCTTAGGTTCTAGTAAATACGGGTTATTGGAACTAATTACAGCCAATGAATTTATGATTTAGCACTTTTTTACATGGGATGGATTTGTTACTATGAATAACTATAAATACTTGAGAGAGGAGAAGGTAAATACATTCCTCCACGGTTACCTTTTATTTCAGACAGAGACCTCAGGAAGAACCTGTTTAATCTTTGTTTTGTGAGTAAAAAAGTATGGAAAATAAGTGCCTAGTGAGTATACCTATAAATGAAATAATGTGTTAACCTGAGAAATCATATTTATTCCAAACTTATACAGTTAGAGTCATCAAAATAAAAACTCTTTCAAATACGAATACAAAATTTCCTAATCCCTGTGATCCAGTGCTTTGAACCTCATTTTTTCAACTTGATTTCATTATTACGGCTTCTTCTTTAGGTTAAGCTTAAAGGAGCCATTTTACAATGAACAAAGTAAAAGTTAGTGTAAACTAGAAAATCATGGGGGCAGGGAGGGAGTGTGCTTAATTCCAGAAGTTACTACTTGAGTTTGGTATGGGATATAAATGGTAAGAAGTGCGGTGGAGGACAGAGTGCATAGGGTTGTGGGAAAATACTCTTGTCGGGAAGACGAGTCATGGCAGGGCCGTTTCCCTGCTCGTCTGGCAGTAGCCTGACAAAGGACCAGAACAGAAGCCGGGGAGGGGACCTCGGAACCTGATGGGTAAACAAATTACAGGGCTGACGTAACGGTAATCAGCTTGGAAGAGGGAAAGGAGTCTAGAGGAGGTTATCTAGAGATGACGTGCGAATAACGCATGAGACCGTGAAGTGTACCACTTGTTCCACACGCAGGTATTGAACCTGCTGCTGTGCCAGATACCCTCCTCAGCGCTGGGACACAAGACATATTTTTGAGTCGTTAGGGAGACAGGCTGGGAAAACAGCTAAGGCGATATTTAAAGGAGAGACTCGAAGCGGTTTGAGTGTATCCTCCGGAGAGTGTGCAGAGAGCCTAGGAGCTCCTCAAGAGGCCTTGATTCTTCTGGTGTTTGATGAGGGATTCTATGGTGTTTTGCCCTGCTGACTGCTACCCTGCCTCTCATTTAGCTCTTTGCTTGTGTCAACCCCCACTTTATACCATCTGGCCATTCCATTTGATATGTCATGAAGCTTTTGGCTACCCTTAAACACACCGCACTGCTGCATTACAGAATTTCGGTTTAGCCTTGGCCAGTTTTGCTAAGTGGTTAGAGTGTTGGACCTCAGACCAAAGGGTCTTGGGCTCTATGTCTGTGTCTTGGTTGTGGGTTCAATCCCAGCCCCTGTCAGGGTGCATGTGGGAGGCAGCCAGTTGCTGTATCTCACATTGATGTTTCTCTGTCTCTCTCCCTCTCTCCCATTCTCCCTCCCTTCTACTTTCTAAAGATCAATAGAAGCCCGTGTGGCTCAGTGGTTGAGTGTCAACCCATGCACCAGAAGGTCGCTGGTTCGATCTTCACAAATTGAGATCGGCCAGAATGAAATACAAGTTTCTAACAACTTAGAATGGAACTCTGCTTGAGGTTTCACCCTCCTGTTTTCCTTTGCAGACACACAAACTCGAGCCACTTCTAAGAGCTTATTACCTGTGAAGTCTAAAGAAGTCGATGCTTCCAGATCTCTTCATCCAGGAGTTTCAGAAAATGATGTAATGAAAGGCATCAAACCGAGACGAGAGAATGGGTGGGTCAGATCATTGGTATCCAGTTAGAAATTGCTCAGTACCAAGAATTAGAAAGTGGGGGTTTGAGAGCACAAGGCACCTGAACAATTAGCCTGGAGTGGGACCTGGATCAGTGCCGCATTGCTGAGCTGTTGTCAGGACCCTCCGTGTCGATCAGTTCTGAAGAGGCACAGCAAGGGTTATGCTAAGAGACATCCTTTCCCTTCTCACCGCTGCTCGGAGTGTACAATGGCTAACTGTGGTCATACCCCAGCCCTGAATGGTAGTCACGGTGGGTGGGCTGGTTGTTAGCCCAGTGCGCGTGTGTGTCCTCCACCCAGTGCTCAGTCTGCATGTAAGTGAGGTTGTCATGAGAAGGCCATTCGTTTTTGAGTAAGAGGGGAGTTCATTATTAATAAGCCTTTTTCAGTCTGGGCTGAAACAAAGTGCATGGGCTTCAGAGCTTCTCAATCTTGTGTTATTTGTATTGTTTAAAATCTCTGGTTCTTTTCCTCAGAAAACCAGCCTCTTTGTTCTGCTTTGCTCACAACACATATAACAACCTGTTACAATTCTCTGCTTGAGTCCATTGTCGTTGGCTTTTAATTAAGGCATTGACTACATTATAGTTTCAAGTATACAACATAATGCTGTGATATGTGTACATATTGCAAAATGTCTGCCACAATAAGTCAAGTTACATTCTGATTTCTTTGTGTTTGCTCCGCTAGGCAGGGGAAAGCTGCAGATACTGCCATCAAGAGGAACATCAAAAAGAGGTGAGCATCAGGGTAAATGAAGGTTGGGCACTGTGTTAGTGGATCTCAGTCCTGGTTGTGCAGGATTTGTTGGGACTTGTTTAATGTGTTACAGTCTGGGTGCCACCCAGAAATCTGAATGGAATTTTCAGGAGTGAGGCACAGCTAGATTGGAGAAACACTATCAGGGCACGATTAGTGAAGCTACCATCTTGAGTGCCAGTCAAGAGCTTTTGGGGCTCCGTCCGTGCCAGGACCACTGCTGACCAGAAGTCAAACCCAGCTGTGACCTCTGAACGGGAGTGTGAAGCCTACAGGATCGGAGGGGCTGCGTGTAGTTAGCACCTTCAAGGTGGTATTTCTGGTGAAGGAGAAACCACGAGAAGGGCCTGTCTTTCCGCCTTGGAGGCTAGCGTGGGCATTTTGCAGTCCTGAAGACAGAAATAATATAAGCTGAAAATTCTGCAGAAGCAGGTTCTAATTTCAAATCTGGGCATGTTTTAAAAGTTCTGAAAACAAAACTCTATCCAAGAAGAACTCTGAGAAATATGAAAAGAACATTTAATATTAATGGTGATAATGGCTGTTATTTATTAAATGTTTACCATGTGTCAGTGGCGTGCTAAGAGTGGTACATGTGTTCTTTCTCTTATTCTTCACAATAATAATATTATGACAGGTGGGTATTATCCTAATTCCGGAAATAAGGAGACCAAGCCTCAGAGAGGTTATACAACTCACTGAAGGTCATGTACCACTATGTGATGAAGCCAGGATTCGAACTCCTATTTGTGAGACTACCCAGTCCACCACTTTACCCCCCACCACTTCATATAAGTACGGTTATCATTACAGCTACAGGCCGTTGAGTAAGCAGAAGTCAGAGGAAGACCTCAAGGATAAGAACCAGATCTTAGAGGCCGTCAACAAGCAGTTACACCAGAAGTTGACTGAAACTCAGGTAAGAGACCCACCAGGCCTGTGCCATCAGCCACACTGGGTGATGCCTGTGGAACCCCGAGGGACAGCCACTCAGACCACCCCGGAGGCGTAGCACCGGCCTGATCTGTGCATGGCACCCCATAGGGAAAACTGAAGGACCTGACTGAAAAGGTGGAGCTGCTGCAGAAGTTTCAGGACAACAGTTTGGCGATTTTGGAGAGCAAGGGCCTCAACCCAGGTAAGAAACAGCACACAGCAGCCTTCGAAGGAATCAGTGTGCGTGCGCCCTGCTGGGGTGGTTCTGGGCTGTGTGTTAGGGTCCAGCGTGGCAGCAGCTGGCCGAGGCATGCAGAGGTTGGGAGCATCTTTTTTTCTCTGGTGGTGCTGACTGTGCCTGACCGATTCCAGGTGGTTGTAGAGAGAGGATTAGCGCTTTCTTATCTGAACACTTTGGTGCCCAAAGGTATGACCTTGCCAATTAGACCAGAAATATTTTATTTCTTTCAAGATTGGCAGCATACAGTTAACTTTCTCAAGTGGGAAGAGAGAGAGATGACACTGTTTCTGGCCACTCGGCAGAATCCCAGCGTGAAAGCCGGATTCCAGCTCTGACCCTCTCCCTAGAGGCCAGTGTAGAGCAGTGAGGGACGGAGCTGAGGGGCCTGAGCATCCAGGGAAGGGCCCGAGCTTCTTGAATTAAGGAATGCTGACTGGATGCTACTGGTTAACTGTACAGTTTAGGATATATTCTTCATATGTGTTTTTGTATTATTTTAATTTTTTATGTGTATGTACTACTTTTATCAAAAATAATAATATTTAAGGCCTAAAAAACTTTAAAAATAGTTCTGTGTTTTGTAAACAAAACTATACGTTGCCTTTGGACAAATTTTCTGAGGAGAGCGGAATGAATTTTTGGCCATATCCAAACAGAAAAGAAGGAGCTAAAACGTATCTTGAGGCAGGCGTGGGCACACTGCCAGGGTGAAAACTCGGAGAGTCAGGAGCAGCTCTTAGAGGACTTTCCCTCATGAAAACTCTTGTGCTTGTCCTTGTCCCAGAGGGTTTTTGGGTGTTTATCTTGTGGAAGGCACAGTTCCCTAAGTGAGGCTAATTTTGTTGTCTCCGTTACATTTAGACAGTGAAACCCTAGAATCACAGCAAGAATCCAACCCGGATCACGTGGACTCGGTGGTGAGGGCCTGGGTGTGAGTGGGCGAGGGCCAAGGGGCGAGGGCGGAGGGGCCGTGGCTCCAGATCGCTGCCATGTGCTCAGTAAACCCCGAAAAGCAGCCTTTGGGACCCGGGATAGTGGAAGAAGAGAGTGGTGGATATGTACTCAAAAGAGCATATCTCACTTGGCAGGTGACCTGTGCTTTCGGATATGAGTGAGTCTGAGTTGAAAATGTGCTACTTTAAAACACATAACAGGATAGACCTGTATACAGAGCTTTCTGGTTTCTGTGTTATACTAGACCAATTTCTCTCCTTATTCCTTCGCTGAGAACTAGATAGTGAAGTAGGAAGGTAATTGTTTGGGATTAAAGTCTCTCGAGTTTCTATGATCAGAAGATGAGTTGTCATCTTAAAGTCACAGAGCACTAGATATGGAACCATCCTCAGCTCTCCCAGGTTATTAGTCCCCCCTTCAGTGGATACGTGTGTTCATGTTGCTTGTGTAGCAGGAAGTGGGATAATCCTTCGTCCCTCCGGGGGACTGAGCTCCTCCAGGGTGCCCAGTAGGGAAGCCAGAGGTGTGTGGACGCAGCAATGGCTGAATGACGTTAGCAGTCATCTAATTCAGCTCCCCTTTTATACAAAGAGATTAGTTTATATGAAGAAAATGTTTGCATACCAGTGAAGATTTGTACTTTATTTTACTAATTGTACTTTCCTCTTAGTTGCTGTTAGAAACTTTGCAAGATGAATTGAAGCTTTTTAATGAAACAGCAAAAAAGCAGATGGAGGAGTTACAGGTGAGAGGCAGACATCACCCTGAGGCAAAATTATATTCCTGCTACAGTAGAGCGCTCGCGCTCACTCCCTCCCTCTCTCTCTCTCTCGCTCTCTCTCTCTCTCTCTCTTTTTAATCCTCACCCAAGGATATTTTTTCCGTTGATTTTTAGAAAGAGAGAGAAGGAGAGGGTGAGGAAGAGAGAGAGAGAGAGAGAGAGAGAGAGAGAGAGAGAGAGAGGGGAACATTGAATGCGAGAGAGACACATCAATTGGTTGCCTCCCACATGCCCCCAACCAGGGCCGGGAGCCTGCAACCATAGTACGTGCCCTTGACCAGAATCACACCCGGGACCTTCAGTCCACAGGCCAACACTCTATCCACTGAGCCAAACCAGCTAGGGTTGGAGGGCTCTCCCTTATTTATCTATTTCTTTATTTTAATAAAATATTTTGTAATAATTTTAGATTTACAGAAAATTTGTAAAGAGAATTCAATTCCCCTACGAATACAGAGAATTCTCCCTCAATGGGACATAAGCGTGATGTTTCAAAGTTTTTGTTTGATTTTGTCTTTTTTAATATCTTTCCAAACAGGCCTTAAAAGTAAAGTTGAAGATTAAAGAAGAAGAGAGGGCCCGGTTCCTAGAGCAGCAGACCCTATGTAACAGCCAAGTAAATGATTTTACAGCAGCCCTTGAGGAAATGGAGCAGCTATTAGAAATGTGATAAAAAGCAAGTGGCCAAATGGCTCTCTCTTGGGGATTAACTCTTGGAGGAAGCCACTAAGGACATCTGCTTCTTGGCCGTGATCTTCACCATTCCAAGAATGAAACCAGTTTGTGCAGTAGGATTAAAGATAGTTAGTGCTGGAATGGCAGTTCCTCCTTTAAGAAAGTATTCTCACTCGTCAGATTGGTCAGCTCTCTGAACCTCAGATGTACATAATTGAGGTCTACAAGAAGGGAATCTGGAAGCTTGGATCAACTCCTGGGCAGCAGAGCGACCCACTATTAGAAACAGGAGACTAAGCCAGCCACAGCCAGAGGATCCAAAAGGTCACATTCAGATGCGCAGGGAGAAACCCTGAATCGTACCATGGGGCACAGGTCTCCATAGGAAACACCACTGAGGAGCCATGCGGGCCCTCTAATTTGGACACATGGGAACTTAAAATCACTTGAAATGGCTTAATAAATGGGGTGAAGGTATAGATAGCAATAACACCAACTGAAACAATACACTTTGGAGCTTTTAATCTAAATCACTTCTGTGTTTTTATATGTATATATATAAAGTGCTAATTTTAAAATAAATATTTCTGTAACTTCAGATTGCAATGAGAAGTGAAAATAGCCTTTTAATTTTAATATATTCACTGAGTATTGAACTAATGTAGACAAGTTCACACCTCTAATTTAATCCAGAATCTTTCCCTTCCACTCATTAAGTACTCCATGCCTACGCGATGCCTTTTCCCGGAACCTTCGCTTGCGTTCTGAGGGCGTTCCCTGTTTGTAGCAGCGGCCAAACTCCACCCACCAGATTTGTGTCAGGAGCTGCCTGTCCTCCCTGTACTCCGGAGCATGATTCTGTCCCTGCTCTTTGCTTTGCACAGCCAACCCTGGACCTGGCTTCATGGATCCTTAATCAACTGCAGTTCATGGCAGGCCGCCCCTCCTCCCCCACTGCTGGTTTACCTAAGGAACAGCCATATTTCATTTCTTAGACAAGGCAATCATTGGCCAGCCCCCTTTCCTTCTTTTCCTGCAGTTTTTTCATCAAACCCATCCACTATTCAGCATTGCTGCGGTTTCCCAGAGCCACCCATTAATGCCCCAACCCTAACCTACAGGGCTAAATTCTTTTGCCTTCACACACACGTTCATGCAGTTGGTTATGTCCCAAATATTTTGAAGGGGGGAAATCCAGTTAAACGGTTCTCACCGATGAGAGGGGCTGAACATTGTCTTCTACCCATTTTCAAGATGTTTACAGTTTAAAAGATTGTTTACAGCAAATGAATTTGTTACTGCTATTTCAGGCCCCCCAAGAAGTTTTACTTCCTTTTTGGAAGGAGAGGGTGGGAAACTCGGTTGTGGGATCCTCACCTCCTTGTCATGCCTCCCGAGTAACGCAGGGAATGGAATGATCTTAATGTCTATCATTACTCATCTTCCCCGTGTAGAGACCCTGCTCTCGTGGCCTGGTCTCCCCAAGGGGCTTTCACTTCATGGTTCTGCTTTGCACCACCAGCCAGCCTTGGTGCACTCCTGACTTTATTCCCTCTGACCTGTGCTGTTGAATCTGTCGCTTGTGCATGTGGCTTAATCTGATCTGGAACCTAAACAGATTGATACACAAACCCAGCAAATAGTGATCTGCACCCTCTGCTTTGCTAGCTGCTATAGGAAACTTAATGTAGCATGACATTCTAAACCTCAAAGCTTACAGTCTTGTTTGGTGAAACAAACAATGCAGGTCATAAACAAGTTAAATAAAAGATAATGCTTTATCAACAATGGGTGGTGTGATAACAGCTGTGTTCTACAGTAAACTGGGCTAGGCTTATGGAGGAGGTAGACTGGGAACTGAAGGAAAAGTAACATTTGAAGAGGCTGGCAAAAAAGTTGAGGACCCGCCAAGTTGGTGAACACATGGAGAATTGGCGACAGTGGCAGGATCATTGGAAACTCCAGGGAGAAAATAAAATTATGGAAGATTAAAAGAGACGGGGGGATCCAGATGAGTCTTGGGGAACATAGTAAGAGCAATGGGCTGTTAAGAGTGTTCAAGATGAGAAGGGATTATGTCTGACATTTAACTGAACATTTGTAATATGCAAATGTATCTATGTTCCTCATGTATAGTCTCATGTAATCCTCATTATAAGCATACAAGGTAAGGACTATTACTCCATTTTACAACTGGGGAGATAGCTCAGAGAAGTTAAATTGATTCAGTGAACATAGAGATGCATATATCTTTGCAAATACATGATTTCGAGTTTTTCGGGTATATACCCAGAAGAGGGATTGCTGGGTTGTATGGTACCTCTATTCTTAAGGTTTTGAGGAATCGCCAGAGTGCTTTCCATAGTGGCTGTACCAGTCTACATTCCCACCAGCAGTGGAGGGAATTTCCATAACCTCTCCAACGTTTGTTATTGTCTTATTGATAATGGCCACTCTAATAGGTATGAGGTGGCACCTCACTGTAGTTTTGATTTGTAACTTTTTTATCTGATAACTTCAGGTTATTTTCCTTCTTGAATGTAAACATTAATTTCTATTGGGACATAATGTTCCACTTCTTGCTTTTTAATCCCTTCTTGCTTTTGTTCATTTTCCATACTTCATCACCAGGACTTTGAAAAATGGTGGCTATACCTCCACACCAAGTTTCACTTGTTTTGCCATGAGAATTTCCAAAGTCAAGCTTAAAATCCTATAAATGAAAAAACATTTCATAAGTATCTGAACTTCTTTCCTACGATTGGGGAACTCCCTACTTCATGTGTCTGGAGGGTATAACCACAGGAGCTGGTTTTCCAGCTTTGTTTGCAGTCAGGGCATGGGCACGTGGCCAAGACTTAGCCAACAACACCGTCTGGGGTTTTGAATTCTGCCCAAAGACAGCAGAAGCTCCACCCTGGTGGTGGCAGCCACATCGGGGTTTGGGGACCTGCAGGGGTGTAGTGACAGTGACAGGCAGGGCCCAGAGCAGGAGGTCCTAACTTCCTGGTCATTCTATAAGCTCTCCAACAGCCTTTCAACACATCTGCTTATCTCAGCCACTTTCTGTTGCTGCAACTAAGAACGCTGTGGGTGGGCCACGCAGCAGAATGCAAACCCAGGGGTGTCCGAGATGGATCGGCTGGGTTCTGCAGGGTCCTGGCAAACTCTCCTCCTGCTCCCAGGTCCTCGCAGCCTGAGTTCACCATGCAGACGCCTGCACGCCCCACCGTGTCTGCAGCAGGGTTATGAACGGCAAGCACAGCACAGTGCCACCGCCTCACCTCAGGAGTTAGAGGAAGGTGGGCCCTATTATCTCAGTAATATTTTTTTGACACCAAAAGAAATACCTAACTGCCCTGGCTGGTTTGGCTCAGTGGATAGAGCGTCAGCCTGCGGACTGAAGGGTCCCAGGTTCGATTCCAGCCAAGGGCACATGCCTGAGTTGCGGGCTTTATCCCCAGTGGGGGATGTGCAGGGGGCAGCCAATCAATGATTCTCTCTCATAACCTGTGAACAGGAAGGTCGAGGTTAAATTCCCAGTTGGGGCACATGCCTGGGTTGCAGGCTCGATCTCTAGTGTGGGGCGTACAGGAGGCAGCCAATTAATGGTTCTCTCTCATCATTGATTTTTCTACCTCTCCCTTCCTCTCTGAAATCAATAAAGATAAATATTTTTTAAAAAAGAAATACCTAACTACTGTAAGTAGTTACATCCAAATAATAAGTACATATGTCCTAACAACTTATTAGCTATTTGAAAAAATAATACACAAAACTAAAGAATTTTTTTTTAATTCATTGCTCAGTAACTACAATGATTTACTAACGGGATGTTGGGCATTGCTTAATTTCTCAAACCTTGGAATCAAATTGGACACTACTGCCTGCATTCCCTGTTTGACATTGGAAGGAATGTGGCGTGATCTAATGTCGAAACTGACCTACTTCAAGCTCGTAGCTCACATGTCTAACATGTCAAGTATCACTGAGATTCCCCCCAAAATTTCAAATAGCCCATGGAGTGTCTGTGAGTTTGTTGCCCAAGGTTGCCTTAACTCACAATCTGGGAACCACAAAAAAAAAGGCAATGGAAGCAGTGAAACATTCTGAGCAGGCAATCATCATGATGAATGTTTTAGAAAACTGAATCTGGCATTGGTGTTAAAGATGGATGGCCGTGTTAAAATACAATAAACAAATGGAGGCCAGCCTTGACAATTCCGAGGAGACAGAACCAGTTTAGTCATACAAACAAATCGTAATTTAGCTTATTTTGCAACACCAGCTTGCCCTAGTTCGTGTCTTGCTTTTGCTTCAGGAAATCATAAGCAAAACTTGACCCCTTTCATGAGGTTGACATAAGGTAGCCACTGAAAATCGCTGTGAAGAATAAGCAGTCACTGTGAGTTTGTACTAGTAACTTCAGAACCAGCTCAAAATGGTCCTATCCTGTTTCTGACACGTTACTGAGTTGCCTCTCATAGTCAACAGACCAAAACTGCAACTCATGAAGCCAAAGCATGCGCAGAGGAGTAAACTTTGGCCTCCAGCTATACACAGGACCAAGAAACTGGGACATGACCAGTATCTGAACACCAAAACCCTTTCAGAAGCACAGGGTCAGTTGTGCAGGAAGATCAATGCTGAAGCCCCTTGCCAGAATTTACCATAAATGGGTAAGTTTCAAAGCTCTCCAACACCTGTACCAACAGTGCTTCCACATACCAGTAGCTTGTTCCCCTTAACCCTCAACCTTTGCCTTTAAAACCCCTTGATTAAAAGAAAACTCCGCCGAAGCCGGTTTGGCTCAGTGGATAGTGTCGGCCTGCAGACTGAAGGGTCCCAGGTTCGATTCCGGTCAAGGGCATGTACCTGGGTTGTGGGCACTTCCCCAGTGGAGGATGTGCGGGGGGCAGCTGATCGATGTTTCTCTCTCATCGATGTTTCTAACTATCTCTCTCTCTTCCTCTCTGTAAAAATCAATAAAATATATTAAAAAAAAGAAAACTCCATCGGGAGTTGGGGTTTCAAGTGATTGCTTCCTGTTTCCTTGCTTGACTCCCTGCAAATACTAGTAAAACAGCTTTAATCTCGCCATTGCAAATTTTGATGTGCAGTGTTCAGCTTTGCTGCACATAGGGCAAGCAGACCCTTGATTGGTTTGGTTTGGTAACATTTTCTCACCATATAATCTGCTTTATAACAATACTAGAGGCCCGGTGCATGAAATTCATGCACTGGGGGGGGGGATCCTTCAGCCCAGCCTGCACCCTCTCCAATCTGGGCCCCTTGGGGGACATCCCTCTCACAAGTCAGGACTGCTGGCTCCTAACCGCTCACCTGCCTGCCTGATTGCCCCTAACCACTTCTGCCTGCCGGCATGATCACCCCCTAACCACG